CCGCCACAATGTAAGTTTTAATACCAGGTTTACTGACCTTGTACCGAAGGAATGGAAAGTATTAGAAAGTTACTGCCGCAGCAAAGGTGTTAAACATCAGGAAATTTGGTTTGTCCGTGCCGTTATTTGTTAATGTTGCGCGATAACAAAAATCACCAGAAAAATGACACTGTTGCCTTAACAGTGTTATTTCTTACTACCGGCCGCCCGCGTCTTCGTACGCGTGGATCCCGTTTTACCCCCTTCATCTATCTTACGCGGTTTAGATTTTTTCATACAAATGTTTTTTCCCGCTAACTCCCGTTCCCGTGGGAATTTTGCAATATCCTGTTCTAACTAAGCTTTGAGTTTACTAAGGTACCTGCATGCCAAATTTCAAGCGTCTAACTTAAGCGGTTTAGATTTTTCATACAAAAGGATTTTCCCGCTAATTCCCGTTCCCGTGGGAATTTCGGGAATTCCTTGTTGTAACTAAGCTTTCAGTTTACTAAGGTATCTACATGCCAAATTTCAAGCGTGTAACTTAAGCGGTTTACTTTTTTCATACAAAAGGATTTTCCAGCTAATTCCCAATACCGTGGGAATTTCGGGAATTCCTTGTTGCAACTAAGCTTTGAGTTTACTAATGTACCTACATGCCAAATTTCAAGCGTCTGACTTAAGCGGTTTAGATTTTTCATACAAAAGGATTTTCCCGCTAATTCCCGTTCCCGTGGGAATTTCGGGAATTCCTTGTTGTAACTAAGCTTTCAGTTTACTAAGGTATCTACATGCCAAATTTCAAGCGTGTAACTTAAGCGGTTTACTTTTTTCATACAAAAGGATTTTCCAGCTAATTCCCAATACCGTGGGAATTTCGGGAATTCCTTGTTGCAACTAAGCTTTGAGTTTACTAATGTACCTACATGCCAAATTTCAAGCGTCTGACTTAAGCGGTTTAGATTTTTCATACAAAAGGATTTTCCCGCTAATTCCCGTTCCCGTGGGAATTTCGGGAATTCCTTGTTGTAACTAAGCTTTCAGTTTACTAAGGTATCTACATGCCAAATTTCAAGCGTGTAACTTAAGCGGTTTACTTTTTTCATACAAAAGGATTTTCCAGCTAATTCCCAATACCGTGGGAATTTCGGGAATTCCTTGTTGCAACTAAGCTTTGAGTTTACTAATGTACCTACATGCCAAATTTCAAGCGTCTGACTTAAGCGGTTTAGATTTTTCATACAAAAGGATTTTCCCGCTAATTCCCGTTCCCTTGGGAATTTCGGGAATTCCTTGTTGTAACTAAGCTTTAAGTTTACTAAGGTACCTGCATGCCAAATTTCAAGCGTCTAACTTAAGCAGTTTAGATTTTTCATACAAAAGGATTTTCCCGCTAATTCCCGTGCCCGTGGGAATTCCTAAGTATCCTATAACCTGCCCAGGAGTACGAAGAATAATTGTACCAAGTTTCGTTAAAATCCGTCAAGTAGTTTTTGTTTCTATAAGGAACATACAGACAGACAGACAGACAGACAGACAAAAATTTTACTGATTGCATTTTTGGCATCCGTATCGATCACTAATCACCCCCTGATAGTTATTTTGAAAATATATTTCATGTACAGAATTGACCTCTCTACAGATTTATTATAGGTATAGATGATGTTTGTATTCTTGGTAAAATAATATTTTTTTATCAATATCTTATTGTTATTGATATTATTAATATGAGAAACTGTTAATTACTATACATAATTGTCATCCACAATAATAACTTATTAGTGACTGTGATTTTACGCGGGAAAAATTAATTAGTCACAGTTTACATTTAATCAGCTGATTAGGAATATAAATAGAGGTCATGATTAAATTCAATTAAAACTACGTATTATTATTTATTTTGCACGAATCTAAACAGCATTCTAATTATAAGGTAGCAATCCCGTCAGTAATAATAATAATTAAATTATACAGGGAGTCTCAAATTATAACTGTATTTTTTTCATGAGATTCAAAAACTAAGGTCAACATTAATTTATATTAGAGAGATCATGAGTCTTAACTAAACGCCCGTATTCACAAACATTACTATGAGGTCTCACAGTGCGCGTGGACGCACAGGGCGACACATGAACCAATCACAGAGCTCTATTCAACGCTGTGCGTTCGATTTTCTGCTTCACTTAAGCAAGCATCGTTTGTGAATACGAGTGTTAGTTACAAATGTCAATAATATGGATTGAGATCTTAGAATTAAATAATAATATTCTATAGCGAAAGTTTAAAATTTTACTGTTAGAGGCCACCCATTAAAAATACGTCACAAGAATTTCATGATTTTTAAATCACTGCTGATGCTGAACATAGGCCTCCCCCAATAATTTCCATATCAGTTAGTAGCGGCCTACTTGTAGCGCCTTTCTGCCACCTTTATAAGGTCGTCGGTCTACCTTGTGGGTGGACGTCCTTCACTACGCCAAGTACGCGTTTTTAAGTGTTCCATGTGGAATGTTACGTAAACGAAATAAAGTCGCTGACATAGCCCGACCGATTAGCAACCTGAAGTGGCAATGGGTAGGGCACATAGTACGCAGAACTGACGGCCGATGGGGCAGCAAGGTTCTGGAGTGGAGGCCACGTACCGGAAAGCGCAGTGTAGGACGTCCACCCACAAGGTGGACCGACGAACTCATACAGTGGTGACTGAGTTTGTTGCGGCGCTTCTTCTCAGCACTTGCCAAATGTTGGTCTCGAAGCGCTGGTAGGGTAAAAAGATTATGAGACATGTAGAGGCTCCTTAAGAGCAAAATGACGATTTGTAAGAACTATTTATTAGTCTAAACAAATAAAGAAATTTTGACTTTGACTTTGACTTTGACATAAAGGTAGCGGGAAGGGGCTGGATGCAGGCCGTCACCGACCGGCCATTGTGGAAATCATTGGGTGAGGCCTATGTTCAGTAGTGGACGTCTTATGGCTGAAATGATGATGATGATGATGATGATGAGGTGGAATTCAGCTGCTAAAAGACGGCTAAATCACCGATGGGCGATACTAACCCATACTAAAGTACTCTAAAGGTCCATGCTGAAAATACATGCAGTGTTGTGGTACTTTTGATGTCACGACTAATGTTGAGTCAAGAGTCTTTTTGGCACAGGACACTTAAAGCCATTTTAATTTTAATTAAATTGTGTTCTAAATATTTATGGTTTCTTTTTTCATCTTATATTGTGTGCTAAATAAATTATATTTTATTCTGTTCTAAAAGTTGCATGATTGCCGTGGCTCTTAGCAGGTCGATTGATCGAGCGTCCTACGTTTGCCAATACGTGATATCTTTATTCGAATCCGCTTACCACAATAAACTAACTAAATTGTTTATTAATATTGTTGATAAAACATTAGGTTAATAATCGAATTCCCGCTACACCGGCGAAACGAGCTGTCGGTGCTGTAATCGGTAATCGGAACCGCCATGTTGGTACGTTACGGAGGGAGGTGCAGTAGGCCCGGTTCCCACCGAGGCGGAGTGGAGCGGAGCGGAGAAGTGTCGGGCCGTCGAATTATTCTATACTAGCTTCGCCCGCGTGGTATTTTGTCTGTCACAGAAAACTTTATCACGCGCGTCCCTGTTTCAAAAACCGGGATAAAAACTATCCTATGTCCCTTCCCGGGACTCATTTGCTAAATTTCATCAAAATCAGTGAAAGCAAGACAAACAGACAGAGTGACTTTCGCAATTATAATATTAGTATAGATAGTTTAGATGTCGAGGCCAGGGATGGATGAGCGTCGCTGTCGCTGGCGGCAGGGTCTTCAGGGTTCATGGCGTAGGTCTCAGGCAAAATGAAATCCACTCGTAAAAATAAATAAACTCAGTGTATTCACGAGAATAATGACACACAGCACTAGAGTCGTATCGGAACTGAGTGAACCAACGGTCTTGCGATAGGAACGTCCGACCCGAGTGATAGTTGAACACAGACTGGCACAAGCTCAACGATTCCCCACCAACACGATTCAGTTCTCGTTTCGTCACTCAATTGACTCGATCATAATAACGTTACGGCGTTCACTCACTTCCGGTACTACCTACATTAATCAATTTGAGAACTTATTGCTTAATTATCGCAAAATTAAGAAAACAAAATATGAAGACTGCGACATATACATTTTTTACAGCGACAGCAGCGTGGAACGGAGCTGTGCCAAGCGGAGAGGAGTGGAAATAATGGAATTTGATTAGTTATTCTTCAAACCACTACTCCGCCTTGGTGGAAACCCTTATGTATCTATCTCCCTTTGAAGCACTATAGAGACCAAACGCCTGGGCCGAACGTTAGTGAAAATTCAATATGGCGACTACTGGACGCCATATTGTGAAAATGAAAAATATGAAAGTCAACAAACTATGGCATGTGGGGTATCGTTAGAATCTTCTTAACTGTGAAAATGACACGGGTATATCAAAATTGGAAAAAATTAAAATGGCCGATTTTTGGCGCCATAATGTGTCTTAAAAAATATTTCTTAAAACCTATCGAGTGGGGTATCAAAATAAAGGTTTTTTTAAATGCTTGCAAAATTTTTTAGGATCCGTATCCGTGGCCAAAGGGTAAAAACGAGACCCTATTACTAAGACTGTCTCTCTGTCTGTCATCAGTATGTATGTTATGAACCGTGATAGCTAGATGGTTGAAATTTTTACAGATAATAATATAAGTATGTTGCCACTACAATAAAAATACTAAAAATAGTCACAATAAAAACAATTTGAATTTCAATTTCAATTTTGAAATTTGAATAGAAAAAAGTAAATATTTAAGGGTACAAAAAACGTAATGTATTTTTTTGCAGTTTTTGCTCATTCGCAAAACATTTAGTCGTATCACTTTTTGAATATTGTCGTACAGAACCCTTCGCCGAGGGCAGGGATAAAATCAGATAACAAAAATTATACATATAAAGTTACAAGCAAACCTACCGTATTTCTGTATTCTGTGGCACTGCGCCTTATTTCGCTCAGTATCGCCCGTCCTATCGCAGGGGTGAGAGTGCGCGCGGTTGTTTTACAATTTTATATTTGCGAACATGTTTGATAGTTATTTGTTGATAATAATATGTGATTGTGTTCTTGTACTTGAGATGATATTCTAAGGATGCCTGGACGTTTTTCAAAGAGATTTGTAAGTTTTAAGCACGTTTTGTTTTGTTTACAAAATTAAATGAAAGACTGTAGTATTGGCGATAGAGTCGTAAAATTAAACTATTAATAATAATTATTATGTTTTCACGTGGTTATTTTTGCATACGATACGTTACAGGAAAATTTAGTGGATTTCCGTTACATTTGATTACAAAAAGTTATTAGGGTAACGTATAGGCGTTTATGGAACTAATTTGTATCTACTCGTACAAATTGCATATATTATTTAAAAAAAATATTATTATAAACTATTTAATAAGCTCAGTTCACCAACAACTAAACTAAATAATATGAACAACAATAACATTTTTGACTAATTTAGCAATATCAATTGCCTGACAAACTAGGTAAAAAAAACCAAACGTAAGGAAATTAAATAGCAATTTAAACTTAAAACTTATGAATCGTGAAAATAACTTGTAATTGTTAGTTTTAACTTTGTGCTGTGCAGTTAAAAGCGCAATTTCAACTGAGATAACACAAATGATTACAAAAGTTAAAATTACATTGTGCAGTTTATTTATACCGTTCCAAGTTAGTTTTGCAGTGTACAAAGTGCAAGCGAATAGATTAACTTAGTACAGCGACTGCACATCCGACTACATATCATTACAACTGCATAAAATATAAGATGCCATAGTGTTAATTTGATATCATCATCTCAGCCATAGGACGTCCACTGCTGAACATAGGCCTCCCCCAAGCTTTCTATGTTGCCCGGTTGGTAGCGGCCTGCGTCCAGCGCCTTCCTGCTACTTTGATATGCCTGAAGTTTTTGCGCGCGAAGCTTTAAAGAAAGATAGGCAGTTTCTCAATTTTTTAAATTAAGTTTTTCGTGTTGATTTCTGTTTTCTTTATTTGAAAAACAAACAGCTTGCCTAGAAGCTAGAATCCTAGCCTCAGAATAAATACCTAATTGTGACACACAAACAGAACCGCGCATTGGTTATTGTTATTTGATCACTTAGGGAATCTCCGACCGTAGCATTTTCCATTGTATAGTAACTTCATGATGTATATGCTAAATTAGGCGCCAGTATGATGAACTACAGATAAACAATCCGGAAGCTTTGGCAAAGAAAGAGTCTATACTCGTACATGCCATACAAGCTCTTATTGTTCTATTTATAGTGATGTCGGTCGGTGTCAGAATCGGCGCCAAAGCATGATGGCGGGGTCACAGTCAGGCGTTTAAAAGCATAGAAACGCCTGCGCGTCTCAAATGAAATCTAAATATTTAAATAAATAAATATCCTTGGACATTTTAGACTGCGCTTCTAGTCCCAAACTAAGCAAAGCTTGTATAAACATCGTCGTCGTTTCAGCCAAATGACGTCCACTGCTGGACAAAGGCCTCCTCCAAGGTTTTCCACAATGCACGGTCCTACGCTGCCCATATAAACATACTTAAATACTTTTTTTTTTGTAAATACATAGGTCCTTATTATACATAGAAAACACCCAGTCCAATACAAAAAAATATGTTCATGCACACAAAAATGTTTGTACTGTGCGGGAACCGAACCCGCTACCTCCGGAATAGTCCGTTTCGAACCACTAACACCAAACGGCCGACCAATAGTCCTAAAGTCTGATTTTCCATAGATGTAAACAAACACTTGTGCACACAATGTCATTATAGGTCCTTTTCAGGGCACTTGAATATACATCCTAAATATTCCACCACTTTTTTGTTTCTGTTGAAAAATTTTTTCCTTTTTTTGTGTCTTAAGGGACTAAGAGAACATACCTTCTTTCCCACACCACTGCAACTCCTGTAGGTATCCAAGATCTACAGCTTGGTATCCAATGAAACACAACCATTGAAGGTTGAGTAGTCCCGGAATAGCTTAACTTCAATTTTCGATTGTTGGGGCCACTGGCCCATTTATTGTCCCGAAGCAGTGGTAGGGTTAATACTGGGACGTGTAAAAGTGCTTTTTAAGAATCTATTTGCAAATATAAATGAGTTTTATAAGTTTTTATGACTTTTAATACGCAGGTTGCAATAAATGCTTGAGGGTCAATAAATGCCACTTTGGGTACTTCACCGATCTAGGTGCTTTCTATGTTTTCGTCGTTTACCTACATAGTATTATTTTTTTGCGTAGATCTCTGGTCATTGAAAGACGTCGTAAAATCACTAAAAACATACGGAGTGAAGAACAGTTGTGTTCAATAAATCAATCTTAGCCTCATAAAGATGCTCAAAGTTGCACAGCGAGCTATGGAAAGGGCTATGCTCGGTGTTTCTAAAGAAACGCAAACGAGATCGAATCAGATATGAGGAGATCCGTAAACGAGCTAAAGTCGCTGACAGCCCGACGGATTAGCAAGCTGAAGTGGCGATGGGCAGGGCACATACATCATCATCATCATTTCAGCCACAGGACGTCCACTGCTGAACATAGGCCTCCCCCAATGCTTTCCATGTTGATCGATTGGTAGCGGCCTGCGTCCAGCGCTTCCCTGCTACCTTTACGATGTCGTCGGTCCACCTTGTAGGTGGACGTCCCACGCTGCGTTTTCCGGTACGCGGCCTCCATTCCAGAACCTTTCTGCCCCATCGGCCGTCAGTTCTGCGTACTATGTGCCCTGCCCATTGCCACTTCAGCTTGCTAATACGTCGGGCTATGTCAGCGACTTTGGTTCGTTTACGGATCTCCTCATTTCTGATTCGATCTCGCAAAGAAACACCAAGCATAGCCCTCTCCATAGCACGCTGTGCAATGCAGGGCACATACACTCAACATCAAATAAATCGCACGTTACGTGACGCGAACTTTCAAGATTTTCTTCTGGCCCAATCATGGTGCCCCAACAATATTGGTGTTATTTAAAAGCCCAATAAATAAACTTAAAGAAAAACACATATATTTTTTTTATAAACAATTAACAGGTTACCTATAACACTGCACAACAGCATTTCTGATGATTGGGTTATGTTACATGATATTAGTCCAATTTTTAATGACGATTACAAATCTGTGATTGAAATGTCTGTATCAGCTCTGGTTAAAAAAATATGACACTTGGGTCTTTTTGTAAAAAAACACTCTTTTTTTTGAGATAATCCTATTTTATGAAGTTGTTAAGTTGAAAAAACTTTCTTTTATTTGACTTCCTTGCTGATGCTGAAGGCAGACAGCTCTTCTGAATGATTCAACAGCAGTCAGCTATCATGTGTGCATTCCAGTGGCCCTGATAGCGTCCCTCTATCGTACGAAGGCCCTGGTGGATTTGCTCGCCATGTTCTTCACTTAGATCCTTAAGAGTTGTGATAAAATTGTTCAGGTGATTGCGAAGAGAGTGTAATTCGATGTTTATATTACATCCAACCAAAAAAACATGTTTGTAAGTGACTCATACGTTGTTCGATGTGTAAGAATAGTAAGATTTTTTCGGATTTTCCAAAAAAAAAATTAAAATGCCAAAATAACTCATTCCATGTCTTTTCGGAAGACTTGAAGATCCTAAATCTCTAAAACGATCGTTTAAACCATCTTGGCTACATGGTTTTGAAAATTTCGGGTCACATTCAAAGTCTCTACCACACTGACAGTTTTCGCCTCAAAATCCTCATGTGAAGTATCAACATGAGGTTCAGGTGACTTCTTAGGGTTGAAAAGACGTCTACATGCCAAACGTATGCAAGGAATTACCATTTAGTTCAATATTTTTTGGTTAATACCATTTTTGTTCAAAAATAAAAATAACAGTCGTCGCGATGGTTCAAGGGTTCCTTTCAGATCATAGCGGTTTCGTACCTAAATCTACACATATTCTTATTTGTTTATAAACGTAAAAACTCAACGCATCTTTTCCACGCCTTTGGCGGAATTCAAGGCTTATCTTTCATTTCCACTGGGTCCCCAAACTAATTTTTGTAAGCCAATTTTACGAATTTCGACACATTTAAACGGATTATTTAAACATATCCTGTCCGCAAATGAAACAAAATTGATTTGGATCATTCACACAAACACTTCTTAATGCTACCATATGCAATTATACAAAGAAAACATAGTATTTTTTGAACTGTCGGCGAATTAAGACTGAAATTTAGCAATTTTTGAGTGACAGCTATAACACGTAAACAAGAGCTGCTACGAAAAAATGGACGGCAGATTCAGAATCAGCGACGTCAAATTAGTAAACATCATGTAATGAAAGTCAATCATCAGCCAAAAGTTGCAATTTTGTTGTGCAGTGTAATAAATGTGACTTGAAAAACGACCTCACTTGGGGCTCACCTCTGGGACCAATAGACCAATTTTTGTGGTTATAAAACCAAATAATGATCTTACGTGTCCTTTTTAATTAATCCCAATTTAACAGTTTTATAGCCATAAAAGTTGGCTCAAGCGTAACTACCTATTTTTTGAAGAAGTGACTCTGTAAAGTAGCCCATAAGGGCTACCTTTTCTTTTTTTATTATTTTCTATGATAATATTTTGACGTTCATAAGTGCCACTTGTGGTCTAAACTGAATAAATAATTTTTGATTTGATCTGGGGGCACGGTNTTTACACGTGTTTTCATGCGATGGCCAAGTCAATATTATATTTATGTAAAACGTTAAAGATTTCTTGGCCTGGACTTGGTATTACATGGATCTCACAACTTTTTACCGTAGAACAACTGAGTTGCGAGACTTGGTTTTTTTGACAAGTATTGTTTTTGATGGGATTTTATTTATCAATACATAGTAGAACATGGAAAATATTAGACTAATGCCCGTTTTCACCATCAACCCTTAATTTTTAAGTGACCCCTATGGTAACAAATAACAGGAATTTTGTTTTCAAAGGGGTCACTTAAAAATTAGGGATTGATGGTGAAAACGGGCATAACTCACTTAATAATGTTAGGATTATTTATCTTTGGAAGTGTATTAAATATTAAAAAGTTAACTGTTTCCGGTAGAACGCTCTTCCCTCTTCCGGCTATGTACGACTAAGATGTGTCTGTGTAAGAACC